GAGCCTGGCATCGGGCTCTGTGGGGAGAGCTCAGAGCCTGGAGCCTGCTTCAGATTCTGTGTCTCCCTCTCTCTCTGCCCCTCCCCTGCTCATGCTGTCTCAAAAATAAATAAACATTTAAAAAAAATGCAACTGAAATTTTGAGAGGGATTACATTAAAATTAGAGCCTAATATGCAGATCTGTATCCCTGAAATTTGAATCTTCCTGTCAAACAATATATCACTCCATTTATCTTGGCTTTCTTTCACAATCTTTAAGTTTAAAAGTATTGTTTTGTTAACAAAGGCCTTGAACACTGGCTATTCTTCGACATTTTATATATGTTTTTTGTTAATACTGGGAATAGACTTCTTGTTATTACAATTTCTTTTTTTTTAATGCTTTATTTTTGAGAGAGTGTGAGTGGGGGAGGGGCAAAGAGAGAGGGAGACAGAGGATCTGAAGCTGGCTCTGCACTGAGAGCAGTGAGCCCAATTGGGGCTCGAACTCATGAATCGTGAAATCATGACCTGAGCCGAAGTCAGACACTCAACAAATGAGCCACCTAGGCACCCATTATTACAATTTCTAATTATTGCGGGGCACCTGGTTGGCTCAGTTGGTAGACCATGCAACTTTTGATCTTCGGGTTATGAGCTCATGCCTGGTGTTGGGCACAGAGATTACTTAAAAATTTTTTTTCTGATTACTGCTAGTGTAGAGAAAAGCTGCTGCTTTTGGTGTGCTGATACTGTATGCGTTTATCTCAACATTTATAGTCTTTAAGGGGGGCCTGGGTGGCTCAGTTGGTGAAAAGTCTGACTCTTGGTTTTGGCTTAGGTCATGATCTCACAGTTCATGGGTTTGAGCCCTGATGGGCTCTGCACTGGCCTGTTTGGGATTCTTTCTCCTTCTCTGTCTCTCCCCAGAACTCTCTCATTCAACATAAATAAGTAAACTTAAAAACAACAACAACATAGTGTTTAAGTTTTTCCATTTATAAAAATTAAACTCACATTTCTTTCAGGAAACATGTTTTGCTTAATATCAGGTATAATGATTCATCAAAACCTAAATCCTAGGGTAATTTATTAGAGCATTTAAAATTTTCCTACACATAATCACTACCAGATGATCTGGTATGTGAACCTCAATGAAGAGAATTCCTTACGTTATATTTCAAAATAGAATGTAATCAGTGAAAATCTATTCTTACTGCCATAGCTGTTAAAATTGGCTTAAGTCATCTACAGTGATTAATGATACAGAAATATAAACGAGCTACATTATAGCCAGAAGTGTAACTTATTATAGCTGTATGTCATGTATAATAGGTTAGCCAAAAGTCTAATTTATTACAGCTATGCTTCACGTATAATTTCCCCTGGGAAATACACATTTAAATTTTATTTTAGGCTCAGTTGGCTAAGCGTTTGACTTGGGTTTCTGCTCACATCATGATCTCATGGTTTATGGGATTGAGCCTCACACTGGAATCTGTGCTGACAGTGTAGTCTGCTTGGGATTGATTCTCTCTTTCCTTTTCTCTTGGCCTCTCCCCTGTTTGCATGTGTGCACTAGCGCTCTCTCTCTGGCTCTCAAAAATAAACATTTAAGTAAATAAATAAATAAATAAGTAAATAGGGGCATCTGGGTAGCTCAGTCAGTTGAGTGTTGGTCTTCGCCTCAGGTCATGATCTCACAGCTCATGGGTTCGAGTCCCACGTCGGGCTCTGTGCTGACAGCTTGGAGCCTGAAGCCTGCTTCGGATTCTGTGTCTCCCTCTCTCTCTGCCCCTCCTCTGCTTGTGCCCTGTCTCTCTCTCGAAAACAAATAAATATTAA